CCCCCGCCCCTCCCCCACACACACGCACCACGCATCACTGTCCCTGTCTCTGTGTGTGTGTGTGTGTGTGTGTGTGTGCAGTCTGTGGCGTTTCAACCCCAACGAGCGTTTGACGGCCCACGAGGCACTCAACCACCCCTACTTCGATGACCTAGACAAATCCGTAAGCACGCAACACACAACACCCCACAGACAGACAGACAGACAGACAGCGACCCAGCCCAACACACCTTTATTTGACACACACACCTTCCCTCCCTCTGTGTGTGCAGGAGTTCACTCACTGGGGGCACGACCTGGGCTTCACCTTCAACCGCCCCACCCCGGACGCCGAGGCGGACAAGCCGCGCTACGAACTCCGCAGCCGCAAGGTGCGCAAGGCCGACCAGGAGCTCCAGCGCCCCAGCAAGAAAATCAAGATCGAGACCGAGGAGATCCACCTGGGCAGCGCAGCCGCATCCTCCATGGCCAAGCCCAAGGACAACCACCGGAAGAAACGCAAGGCGCACTGACTGACTGACCGGCCGACCATTGGATGCGGTGCGGCGCGGTGCGGCGTGTGCGTGAGTGAGGTGTGCGTGAGTGGCTTGTCAGGCGTGTGCTGATGGGGTGTGTGGTGGTGGTGGTGGACGGATGTAGCAATCTGATAGCTGAGAGAGGCCACACAGACAGACAAGACAAACAAGACAGACAGACGACAGACACGCCACGGCACGCCTAGAGAGCTGCCCAGTGGTCGGTAAGTCGGTCCGTCAGTCGGTCGGCTGATTCCTTCCTTGGTTGGTCGAGCTGCCTGCCTGCCTGCCGGAGGAGTGGGATGCGTTCATGGGTGCATGGTGTGGTGGGTGTCTCGTCTCTCTCGTGCGTTGGTGCATGGTGGGCGTACCTTACATACCTGCTGCAGACATGGATGGCGTGGAGTGGAGGGGGCGAGCGGAGCCAGTGACACACCGGATGATTGGCTGACGGACTGACGGACCGGCTGCTGGCTGGCCACTGGGCGGACTGGCTGGCTGGGCGGGGTGTGTGTGTGTTTGATGACGTGTGCGCTGTCGTGTCGTGAGTGAAGTGGACTAAGTGGCCTGGCCGACCCCCTCCCCCCTCCCCCCCTCTCTCTATCTCTCTCTCTGTGGCTCTACTCTCCCTCTCTCTCTCTCCGCCCTCTCTCTCTCACTCTCTGCGGTGCTTAGCTTCGAGATGTGTGCCTCAGCCGCCCTCAGTCTGCTGATGGTTGCGCTGGTACACACACAGACATCCACACAAGACAGACAGACAGACGTAGCGACAGACAGACAGAGATAAAGACCGACCGACAGACAGACAGACTCTCTCAGAATTCGTGCAGGCCCGCCCGCTTTCCCCTGCCTGCCTGCCTCTGGGTGTCGTGGATGGCACCTGTACATAATATTCTAGTCAATTGCGTGTTTGTGTGTGTGTGCAAATGGATGGTTTGGCTGGCTCGGTCCTGGCTGGCTGTGCGGGCTCGTAGTACATCAGATGGATGGATGGCGTGTATGGAGCGAGGGGGGAAGGGACGTGTATGTGTGTGTGCGTGGTGGACGGATGTGTGTGTCGGTTGTCTGGTTGGCCTGGCCGAGTGGTGGCATGCGGATGCCTGGATGGATGGATGGATCTGCTTGTGCTCACGGAATGGCTGGCGTGTCAGTTGTCTGTCATCCATCTTCTTTTTGGAGAAGGAATGGCTGTCGTGGTTTGTCGGTCGGTCTGTTTTCTCACCGCAGCGCATTCCCTCGCCAATCAGTCCACTGCTGCTCTGACCTTGCCGTTTCTCAGAAGTAGCGGGGGATCGATGGGCAGCGGTGGACGGGCCGGGCGGGGCAATGCAATCCATGCATTGCGTGTCGTGTTGTGTTTGGGTTGATTCGATTCCCCCCCACCCGTCGTACTACAGTCAGTCAGCCCATCACTGCTTTTTGCCTTCCTCTGGCCGCTTCTTTGAAGAGCTGAGGAGAGGGCAGTGATGCACACAAATACAGTCGGTCGGATGGAGGGAGGGACGGTTGGGTGGTGTCGTGGGGGTGGGTGGTGTCGTGGGGTTCTCTTCTGTCGTCGTCGGTCGATCGGTCCGTTTCTCCGTCTTTTGTTTCTCATCGGGCGGGCTGTCAGTCAGGGGATCGCAGCGTGTCAGTTTTTCTTTTTGCCATTTTGTCGACTGTGTTGGTACCTCCCCACACCGCCTTACTACAGTCAGCCCGTTACTGCTGTCTTCCTTCTCTGGCCGCGCCGTCGGCGAGCTGAGGAGAGGGGCAGTAATGGAGACAATGCACGGGGAGGGGAGGGGGTTGGTCGGTGGGTCGGATGGAGTGCCGCGTATGGTGTCGTGGGGTTCTTTTTGTCGTCGTGACCGATCGGTTCGTTTCTGCATCTTTTGTTTGGCGTGTGTGCAGCGAGGGGGGAAGGGACGTGTGTGTGTGTATGGTGGTTGGATGTGTGTGTGTTGGTGTGGTTGGCCTGGCCGAGTGGTGGAATGCGGATGCCTGGATGGATCTGTCTGTGGTCACGATGGATGGATTGATGGACGGATGTGTGTGTGTGTGGCTGATGGCCGGTGGGTGACATTGATTCGGACACACCAATGGGACTCTTAGATAGAAGATGACGTGAACCAGACCAGCTCTCCAGACACATACATAGCCAAGTACTCAATTAATGTCACTAATGTCCATCCATCCGCGAATATAAAGGGGCCTGCAAGGCAACTCTAAGCCACAAGTGCCACACACTCTGAACAAATGCATCTATAGAGAGAGAGAGAGACATAATCTGTCTGACACCCACAAATCGATCTTGTTTGTATAGACACCCACAAATCAGTCGATCGATGCCTTCTGGCACGCCAGCCACACGTGGCTGCAGACAAACACTTTGGTGTACGTGGGGTGGACGTGGCCGTACGTCAATCTATCTACTGCTACAGTACAGTACAAGGGTTGCTCTGGCCGGATATCGAATCAAGTGAGTCACCATGCCATGCGCCGCTCTTGTGCACGCGACAGATAATCCTTGAGTGAAAGCGCCGAGGCACACATAATCTATCTGACACCCACAAATCCAAAGGTCCCTCCATCTCACATGAACGTAATGGAGACAGACAGCCATCTTCGTTCGTTGTCATTAATTCAGTCCAGCCACCATCGGTGGACCACTTCTTTCTCCTCGCCCCACTGGGTGGTCTCGAGCACATAGTTGGGGTGCAACGGAATGTGCGGCACATGCCAGCTCCCCGCATCTGCACACACACACACACACACACATCTATTCATCCGGTGTCTGTCTGCCGGCCTGCCATTTGCCACATAAATACATACCACACATGGCGTATATTGCCTGGTTCTCCCCGACGGTTCCTCCCTTTTCCGTCTTCTCTGGCCGCCCCGAGCCGTCCACGGCCCCCCACCTCATGAGCCCAAACTCGATGGCCACCCAAGTGCCCTCGCCATACAGCCGGTGCTTGCAGTACGGATCGCTCTCTACCTGAAAGACACACACGAAACACAAGGAGGGAGGGAGGGAGGGAGGGAGGAAGGGAGGAGACATACCTTGGTTTGGGCGTGTGGGTTTCTGCGAGGCATCCGTCTGCCCTGCCAGCAGTTCCACATGTCGCAGCAGCCCGGCCCCCAGATGGCGAATAGGTTGGCCATGGGGAACTTGTTCTTGCCGACGTTCTTCTCGAACAGCTTGCAGGGCGTCCCCCACGGCCCCCCCACACTGGTGGTGTCCGGTTTCTCCCGGAACATGTCCACGAAGCGGGAGCCCTTGATTGGGCCAGAGGCCTCATTGAAGGGCATGGGCTCGGGGGCAGTGGCGTTGAGCAGAGCTATGAGCTCCTCCTGCTCTTCCTGTAGCTTCGCGAGCCTCTCTTGATACTCGGCATACTTATCTGGACTGATCAAGGGGTTCTTTAGCATCTCTTTGACGCGCTCCTCCTCCTGTCTTGTGGCCTTGAGCTGAACGCCGTGGAGCCGGCGCTTGAAGGAGGCCTTGCTCTTTTCCTGTTGCTTTTCCTTACCTGCATCATTTTTCCACCAGTCCTCCGGCAATGGGCTGTACTTGCTCTCCTCAATGAACGCAGCAGGCTGACCATGAGCACCAAGGGGTGTCCCATCTGAAGAAGAACTGTAGTAGGTCAGGATGGCACCCCTGCTGCTGCTGCTGCTGTCGTCCTCGTCGCCATGTGTCCACTGTGAGACGGTGTACCCCAGCTCTGTCGTGCCCTTGACCAGCAGCCTCACAGGCGTTGGCGCCGTGTGCAACGCCATGCGGGCAGTAGACAAGGGCTCAAGGATCGACGCCTCCTGGCCAAGAACCACTGTGCGGGTCCGCTTGCGCCCCGGTGTGGCGGTCTCGAAAAGATAGTCAGGCTCCATGTCTCTGTCTGGTGTCAACAGATCGGGAGACGCAGAAGGGCCGCGGCCATGCTGGACCATCATCTCGCCACTCAGCAGCAGTAGGGGAGGCGTCTCTCCCGCGTCATACTGTGAAGTCGACGAGCCACTTGTTGTGGAAGGGGGTCCGTGATGGCGCTTGACGTGGTCGCGTATATACCGGAGCTCGCGAAGGACGGCGTCAGGCGGCATCATGTTGGCCGCCACAAGGGGTTGCGACGGCGCCGCCACCTCGACAAGGATCGGGTGCTGGAGATGGGGATGGACGCGGTCGGCTCTCGCGTTCATAGATGCGAGACGGCGGCTCTCAACCTGGCACGATGCCACCCTTCCTCCTCCTTCGGCCAGATGTCGTCTGTTCGCCTCCTGTGTCTCCGACAGGTGGACGGCCAGCACCAGTGCAGCCACGGGGGGAGGGGAGGGGGCAGAGGCAGAGACGTTCGTATTGTGGGTGGAGGCCCGTGAGACCTCCTTGTCGTTGCAAATCCACACATCCACGAGTGCGTCGTTGATCTGGGAGCCGAAACCAGCTACGGGGGCGAGCCGACGGCCCTCACGGTCTTCCACGAGGGCAAGAGCCAATTGGGAGGAAAGTGGCTGTCTCTTGTCGACGGGCATTGGGACAGGCGGCCACTGGACCATCTCCCGGTCAGGCGCTCTCCGTCTCTTTCTTCCTTTTTCTTTTGTAGGTCTCTCAGCCACAAAGACCACACCCATGGGAAGCTCCGAGGCGTTCTCGCTGCTCGACAGCAGCTGAGGCAGCATGTGTCTCTGCCACAAGAGGCCGTGTGTGGTGTTCGCCACTTGCTGCTGTGCCTGGAGCGCCTCAAGGGTCAGCAGCGGCACCGTGCTGCGAGACAAAGCCGACAAAGACGCGAGGAACGGCGGCATTGTCGACCCACTATGCACCGGGGGCTCTGCCGGCGGTCCATCAGCCTCGTTGATCGGCGCTGGCATGGCCTCTGCTCTAACATTGCTGTGACGGGCCCCTGTAGAGCTTTCCCTTGGTCGTCGGCTGTCGATCTCCCTCTCGACATAAGGCAACAGATCCAGGGGGCCGCCATGGGGCGTCAGAAAGGGGGAAAAGAGCACCACCGGCGTCAGGCTGACCCACGGGCCTCCTGCTGCCGTCGGCTGCGGCGCACCACCCCGAGACATTTCCGTCTCGACATAGGTCCGTTTGGCCTTCTCGATGGCCGCTGATGGGGCAGCTCTCGTCTCGGGTGCCTGGCAGTCACCCTGTTGCTGGCCCCAGGGCGCACTGGCGCAGGTGGCGTTCATGTGGCTGGGGTGGGCCGTGTGCTGTGAATCCGAGAGCTGAAGGAGGCTAGGTGTGGCGCCGGTGGCTTTGAAAAGGCCGGAGTTTTTGTCGCACCCAGTGGCTGCTGGTGTGCTGTTTGCGAAGACCCTCTCCTTCAGCATGGGGCTGTCGTATATGTTGAAGGACCCCGTGCACCCAGCTGCAATGGCATGGCATGGCATGGCATGGGATGGGATGCAGCACATCTGCGTCATCTCTCTCTCTCTCTCTTTCTCTCTCTCTCTCTCTGTGTGTGTGTGTGTGTACGTCTGCATCTCAGCTGTAGGTCGCTCCACTTGCCGTCGAGGCAGCGCAGCTCGCCGATCTGTCCCCCGTGGTATGTGTCGTAAAACATGGTGGGATAGTCCTCCGACATCCGGGGTGCGAACCGGGCACGCCAGTCGCATACCACCACATGGATATCACCAGGCTGCAAAACAGACAGACAGACAGACAGCCACACCCCACACAAAATCTCTTGATTCGCATTGCTATGACGGCAGGCGAGGCGCACCTTTCGGGCAAACAAGTGTGTCTCTTCGGAGTCGACTTCGGCAAAGCTCTTGCCCAGAGCCCTCTCCGTTGCTGTGTCCGGCTGGAATATCGACTGCAGGATGCGGTAGGGCGAGAGGGCGCCCCACATGTCTCTGCACGCCTCACGCGCACAGTACCTGAGATCAACCTGACTCACGGGCCTGGAGGGGCTCAGGGGCTTCATCTCCGCCACTCCCTCCACGAACGCAGTGGCGGTATTGTTGGAGTCCTTGCCATAGAGCGCCGCCGTGTCTTCGGGGTACTTTTTCTTGTAGCCTTCAATGATCTCTTTGTCCGTCTCTGTCGCGTTTGGCATCACCTCTCGCTCAAATTCCTCTGTGTTGTTGGGTTTGGTGCCTTCGAATTTCTGCTTGAAGCGGGCGGGTGCGGGGGCGTCCCCGACACGCCTGCGTCGCTCGGCGGCGAATTGTGTGAAGGGGTAGCAGACGTCTTCTTTGTTGTTGGGCGAGAGGTTCTCGTGGTACTCTTCGCAGAGCTCCTGCAGCTGCTTCCATACCGGCGGACACACATCTGCAGACAGACGCCCATCCCATCCACCCGTCGAGAAGGCACACCCCACCTGTATGTGTGTGTCGCATTTCTGCTCACGCTGGCACTTGAGTGGTGGTGCGGACCAGACGCCGTCTCTGCACGTGACTATGGCGTACTTCTCGTCTGTCTGGGAGTCGGTCATTACGCCCTCGGCGTCGATCGCCCACCATCCCCTTCGGTGACCCTTGTACTCACCAGCCAGATCACTGCACGCGCACACATACGGGTCACAGAGACATCAGCCACCACAAACACTGGCGCCGGTACCGTTTCGCATTGCAGAAGAGCCTTCTCGTCACGCCATGGGGCAGCGTGGCGGCTCCCTCCTCAGTACGTGCCCCCCGCTGGCTCATGGCGGTCTGTATGACGGCATGCTTCGGGATGTCCACCTCCAGCATGTGAGCCTCTGGCGGCCTGGGCTTCAGGAACTCGGCACACTTGCCTGCAGAACAAACAAGACAGGAGCCATGCATGTCTCGATGGATGTATGTGTGTGTGGATGTTTTGGCTGGCTGACGGTAGCAGTAGAGTTCTCTGCCGGACCAGTGCCCGTCTTCGCATACGACGATGTCCACTGGGTCGATCTTGAACCAGTCGACCTCTGTGTTGTCGCCCTCCTCGCCCACCCAGGGGCGGGTGAACTCCTCTTCGGGACCCGACAGACGCTCCACTTGCTGACAAATCGACACACGGACACACACACAGGTGATGGAGACACACACGTGTCTGTGTGTGTGTGTGTACTGCCGAGTGTGTCTTTTGGCATTTGAATCGCCGCTGTGTGCCGTGGTAGACGACCGCCTGGTCGTTGGTGAGCTCCTCCTCCTGCAGAGCATACCCCCCGCCGGCAGTCATGTTCAGCTCCAACCGCACGTCGTTCAAACACGCCTCTGCGCCAAACAAGACAACACACACAGGTGTTCATCACCCAAGCTTGCGGCAAGCAGTAGCAGCTGATTACTTTTGCAGCTGAGAGGCATCATGTTGGTCTTCATGATAGATGGGACAGTCCAGTTGCCGTCGTAGCAGACGAAGGTCATGCGGGCCCGGGGGTCCCCGTTGTGGAAGTACATGCGGTCGGTGCGGCAGTCTATCTCCACTCGCGCGTTGTGCACCGCAGGAACCTCCCACTTGTGCAGACGCACCTCCGCTACAGCTGCACACACACACACACACACACATCGACACTCTCCATCCCTCTCTCTCTCTCTCCCTCTCTCTTTTCTTGAGGTTACGTGTGAAGTTGTAAGGCTGGCCCGGCACGGTTGCGGTGCAATTCTGGTCATCAGGGTCGCCGAATAGGAAGAAGCCCTCGGTGTTGACCTTCACACTGGTGCCGGGGTTCCCACCGTGCGGCAGTCCACCTTGTGGTCGGCGTAGTTCCAGGAGCAGACGTACTCGTAGTCGGTCGCATTCAGCACATTCTTGGTCGTGGCTGTGTGGTTGCCACTGTCGCCCCCTCCTGCTAATGCGTTGTGCGCCTCCCTCCCCTGTCTGTGCAGCAGCCCGCATTGTTCAGTGGGGGGTGGTCTTGCGCTTGTGGATGCGTGTGGTGTTGCACTCGGTGGTGTCCCACAGGGTGATCATGGTCTCCTCCCCTGTCTCCGTCACGTTGGGCAGCATGAGGGTGGTGCAGGTCACTGTGTGGTCGGAGTAGCGGAACTCACACCGCCACTCGTGGCTGAGCGTGTCGTTGGCCCCGTGTGTCGCCTCTTTGCACCGTGGACGCACCGTCGCATGGACAAAGAAGTCCTCCTCCTTACCTACAGAAAAAGAGAGACAGTCCGTGTGTGTGTGTGTGTGTGTATGTGTGTGTCAGGTGAGTGACCTGTGTGTGGGTCTGATCCACCCGGTGGCTCCCATGCCGATGGGCAACCCCTCAGGGGCTGTCTCGTTGGTGCCCTTGATGGGCTCGTCGGGCGGCGGCGTGGGGATCACCGGCTCCGCGTCTGAAAAGCACAACATGACACGAGAGACACGAGGCCCTCTCTCGTGCTCGCCGTGCGGTGAGAGGGTTGTGTTTACCCTGTTTGTCGAACCAGTTGTAGCGCTCAACGTCGAGGGATATCACCCGGTCCGCACGGGGGCAATTTTCTGAACACATAATCACATCAGGAGCTCGGAATACTCACCACCACCATGGACGGGACGTGCTTTGATCTGCTTACTGAAGCATCCGAGATCGAGAGCCTCCCACTTGCCGTCGTCACAGTAGAGCTTGGTGCTGTGCACCTGCACCCCCAGGCCCGCGTCGTACCCCTCGGCACACTTGAGCTTCCGCCAGTCGCCGTGAAGCTTCCCCTCCCCCTCGATCTCATACGCCCACGCCGGCACGGGAAGCGGGAACTCGGGACAATCACCTGCATTAAGAGCATTAACATACACACAAAGGGAAAGAGTACACCATTGTTTCTCTGTTGTGCCTGCTGACCTTTGCAGTCGAGCAGAGTTTCGGTCCAGATGCCGTCATCGCATTTGATGACGTCGCGGCCGTATGGCGGCCCCGATGCGCTCGACATGCCCTCCTGGCACCTCACATGCACGAGTGTGTCGGGGGGAGACGTGGCCCCGGGGGGGAACCCCTCGTCCGTCACGTACACATAACGCTCCGGATTCAGCACCAAAGGGCCACACTGCTCTGCGATGCAGAGGCACACAGAAAAAGGAAGGCATCCATTCATCCATCCGCCCACGCTGTCTGTGTTGGCATGGCTCACGTCGGCAAAAGAGGTTGACGGCGGTGAAGTTGCCCTGCTCGCAGTATACGGTGGTGGGCTGGGCTGTCCCCAAGACCGGCTGGGTGGGCCGCCCAGCGCCGGGGAGGCCCCGCGAGGCCTTGTTGGCCACCCCACACATGAGAGTGACGCACCCCCCAGAGGGGAAGGTGTCGGGGGTGGAGGAAGGGTCGCTCTTGGCCAGGATGTAGTACCCGTCACTCGCTTTGAGCCACTCACGCATGTCGTTGTAGTCACATCTCTCTGAGACAAGCAAACACAAAGAGAGAACACACAGAGAGAGGGAGAGGGATGGATGGAGACACATGCATGGTGACGCATAAGTACTCACTCTCGCATCCGAGGGTGACAGCGGTGAAGGTGCCGTTGATGCAGGTGATGTGCTGCCTCCCCTCTCTCAGCTCCTCGGGCGCCTCCCCGTACATCATCTGCAAAGCCTTCCGGTGCTCAGCGTCCACGTCGGCGTCGATGTCGCACAGGTGACGCACCCCTGCGTCGCTCGAGCAAGACACCCGTAGCTGCGTGCCGTGGGGGAAGGTGCTGCTGAGCAAAGCCTGCCAGGCCACCGTCTGGCCCGCTGCATCGACAAGGGCTTCAGATGGGGCGGGCGGGGGCATGATGCCTCCCCTGTCCTCTGCTGTCTCTTCGGGAGTTTTCTTCTCCACAAAGGTCAAGGAAGGCATCCGCTGGATGAGCGCCTCTTTCGTGCACTCGCCTGAGTGAGAGATATAGACAGACAGCCGAGAGAGCAACCAGCCAGCCGCTGGTTGTCTTTTGTGTGCTCTGCTCGCTCACTTACGTCCGCATCTCAGCCATATCTTCGACCAGGACTCGTTGATGCATTTGGTGGTGGTCAAGTCGGTCTCGATGCCCGTAGCGGGGTGCCACGACTCCCCAGCCACGTCAGACGACCGGCACTTGAGCTTCACCTCCGTCTTGTGCCGGGGATATGCGCTCCAGTCGATCCCACCGGTCGTCTCGTTGACTATGAGCGTGGCGTTGGGCCCGGCTAGGACCTTTGCTGCGTCTTGGGGTTCGGCTGGCTCGTACTGATAGGCAATGGGGCAGAGCATGTGTTCGAGCGGAGGGGGCGCATCGGGGTGTGGGAGGAAGTAGAGCAGAGGGCAGGCACCTGACGAGCAAAACCAACCAACCACAGCAACCAGCCACAGCAGTGGACGCATTGCATTCCCTCTCCACCCTCCTTGGCGTACGTCTGCACACGATGGCGAGGAACGACCAGTTGCCTTCGCCGCACACGACAGCGGCCGAGTTCTGCCCCGCCACAGGGAAGAAGCCGTCCTCCGTCGCACAACGGACGGACCGCAGAGTGCCCGACTTGAGGGGCCTGGCGTAGGGGAACGGGGCGAATGGCGGCTCGGACGTCACCACATATCCCGGCTTAGCAGTGTACTCGCGGGGACAGGGACCTGACACAGTCATGAGGTCATTTTGCAGGTCTTTGGTGTTTGGTGTGCGTCCGTTGGTACGTTTGCAGATGAGCGTCTTGTCGGTGTAAAAGCCGTCGAGGCACCGGATGACCTCCCACTGGATCAGCGTGTCCACGTCCGGGGTCCGCCCCGCCGCACACGTGACGTTGATCTCTGCCCCGTGGTGCCACGCCACCTGACCGCCGCTTGGCGGGCGGATGAAGGTCGTCACATACGCCGGACCCAGGTGTGGAGGCCCCTCGCAGTTCTCTGCAAATAACGGAGAGACAATTGGATGAAGTCCGTGCGTCGCTCGCTGCCTCCCCTTCTCTCTGCCTGGTTGTTGTATCCCTCTGTCACTCACTCACTCACTCACTCATGCAGACGAGTAGGAATGGTGTCCACCTGCCATGGCTGCAGGTGATCCGCTCGGGTGTCTCTGCCTGCGCGGGATAGTACCCGTCACGACACGAGAGCTCGACTGAGAATAAAAGCCTCAAAACATTGGTCAGTGAGGGAATACATGAACTTCTGATCTTACAGGTGCTGCCGTGCGACCGCTCCCGGTACGCCACATGGCCGGTGCCCTCTTGGGTCAGCTCCAGGCGATACCGCTCTCCGGAGAAGGACGGCAGGGGGTCGCAGTACTCTGCAAAAGCCACCCACCCAACACCCATTTGCAAGCTGGTGGAGGTCGATGTCTCTGCTCGCTCACTGGCACATTCGAATGTGTGGGCGCTCCATCTGCCGTCGACGCAGTAGACGTCCTCAGTTGTCACATCCCGGCTCGTGGGGCTGCCCGCTCCCAGATCGCATGACAATCTCCGCCTCGACCCATGTGCCAGTCGTCCGTTGCTAGGAAATGACTCGACGTGATAGAGAGAGGGCAGCGCGGGAAAGGATGGGCAGTCCGCCGCACAGTCAAGTGTCCGCTGATCGAAGGACCCAAACCTGCACTTGAGCAGGTCAGCGGCCGCTGTATCCACCCCGGGCCCCTCTGTGCCGTTGACAGCCATGGGAGACGCACCAGGGGCGCACTCCAGCCGCACCTCAGAGTTGTGATACACATACGGGGGGATGCCCCGCCACCCTCTCGCCACGTTCTGGTTCTCGAGGGGCTTGGGCGCTGGGGGCGGGTTGATGAGCTCCTGGTAGGTTGGCCTGAAGGATGTGTGGCCGATGTCTGCGGCGTAGGTCCACTCCTGTGTGTATCGGGGGTTGCGCCCGAGCGTCTTGAAGAGGTCTGTGGGGCAGGAGGGTGCGCACTCGAGGTTGGCGAGCTCCCACTGGTCGATGGGGTTGACCGCGCCCACACAGGTGATGTTGACGGCCTCGTCCGATGGATGTCGCACGTCGAGCGACACACTGTGGTAGCCGAGGGACCTGTCGCACCTACGCACAATACAATACCATGCACGAGACTGCACACAGAAATGAACAACGTCGCCGACTGACCTCACAGTGACAACGGTGAGAGGTCTGAATGTGTCGGGGTAGCGCTCGGGGTTGTCGGGGTCTGGCAGCGCTGGCGACCAGAGGGAGTAGTTTGCTCGCCGGAGAGCCACCAGGTAGTCGCTGTCACACGTGCCTGCATGACAACGTGATATGCATGCCACACACTGCGAGAAGGCCTTCAAGGAAACGCTCACGTCGACATTCGAGCGTTCTGGCCGTCCAGTGCCCCTCAAGACACGTCAGCACATCGGTGTCATGAGCCGTGATGGCCTCAAACGACTGTGCCGTGTCGCACGCAATGGTCCGGGTGGCCCCGTGCGAAAGGTCCAGGCGGTCGCCCTCAAACACGTAACCCTCATAGGGCAGGAAAGGCTCCTCCGTACAGGAGGCTGACACACACACACAGAGAGAGAAGCCGTGTGTGCAGGAGAGGCAGGCAGGCAGGCGGACCTTTGCATGTGAGCTTGGGTGTCTGGTATTCCGACTCGGCGCACAGGATCTGTTCGGCGGTGGTGTTGGGGGTGATGGACATGTAGCCCTCTGCGCACTCGACCCTCGAGACGTCCCCGTGTTTGTTGCCGCCGTAGGTGACCTTGTAGCCCTTCCTCTCAGACATCGGCAGCTCCGCCTCACCTGGACAATGCTCTGATATGCAAACACACACACACGCACACACACATACACAAGAAATAGTGGGTAGAAAATGGGCAGAGACACCTACAACCCACCGATGCATTGAAGGGTGAGTTGCGGCGTCCAGTGTCCCGACACGCACCAGACCATCTGTGTGGCCTCTGAGCACTCCTCCCCCCGGTTGCGACAGAAGGGCACCGCCTCCAGTGGGTTGCACCCGATCTCGATCCAGTCCCGGTTGGCCACCACGTCCTGCAGACGACCGCTGCCCTCTGCCGTGTGGGAGGTCCGCAGAATCAGATAAGGGGAGGGAGGCGGCTCGTACGGCGGACAGGGGCTGTCACAAAGACAGACAGACAAACAGGTGTGAGCCAGCCATTGTGTGTGTCTCTTCGTTTGCTGTGCTGACTTTCGCATACAAAGTTGAGAGGGGTCCACTCGCCGTGTAGGCAGTAGACAATGGCGTACTGCGCGTGGCTGCTGGCGGCGTGTGGCTCCACACAGCTGATGTTGCGGTAGGACATGTGCTCCAGCGACTCCAGGGATCGCGGCTTGACACCGGCGGGCAGAGACACGTGATACAGACTGTCACCCAAGTCGGGATACTCTGGGCACTTGTCTGTCACACACACGCGCGCGCATTGGGTGCACTGAAGCCCTGTTGTGTCTCTGTGGGGGTACCAGACCTTCGCAGTGCAGTCCCGGTTCGGTATATTGCCCATCGACACAGGTGACAGTCCGCTCGACGGGCGGTATGCCCAAGGTGACCTCTGCGCCTCCCTTGCACCTCACCTTGACCACCGTGCCGTGGGCCTTGTCGTGCGTCTCGGGGCCCGACACGGCATACGGCAGGCCCTGACGGTTCACCTCTTCCATGTAGGGACGAACGCAATCCTCTGACAGAGGGAGACAAAGAGAGAATTGGGATTGGTCCGCTCTGTTCGTGTGGCGGCCGAACTTTTGCAGACGGTCTCAGGCGGCATCCACTGGCCGTCGCTCTCGCAGTAGATGATCTCCTTCTTCCGGTACCGCCTTGTCGACGAGTACCCCCGCTGGCACGCCAGCACACGGTAGTCCCCCGCCGCGCGACCCTCTGTGCCCTCGTCGTACTCCGTCGTCAAATGCCTCTCGTTGAATTTGTACTTTTCGATGTACCTGCCCCACGCAGGACACAACTCTGAGGAAGAAGACAGAGAGAGAGGGAGAGATGCGCGCAGGGGTGGGGCTGGGTGTGTGCTCTGTGTGTGTGTGTGTGTGTTTGCTGACAGCTGTTCTGACTTCTGCAGTTGCATGCGCAGTTGGTCTCGGCTTCCGTCTTGTCGCCCCCATCGCACTCCTCACCAGACTCGACTATGCCGTTGCCGCATATGGCCGTCCGGCCTGCACGAAGACGATCCACAGCACAAACACACACACATGCGTCGTGGTGGGCATACAGGACGTTGTACTTGAACTGTATACCTAGAATGTAGTTGAGGTCTCTCACGGCTTCGGGCATCTCCTTTTCCGGCTCGAATGTGCGGAAGGGGATGGCCGCCAGCCGCACGTCACCTGCAGCCATCCACATGAAGCATGGGTGGACGTGCTGGTGAAAGAAATGGGCTGGCTACCCAACCGTGGAAGCAGTTGAAGTCGTCTGCGTCGCATCCGATGGATAAACCTGCCAGTCTCGGTCAGATTGGCCGTCGTCCCCTCGGTCGCCAGCAGACGGCCCCCTGCCGGCGTCAGCTCCTTCTCCTCGCGAAACACGTGCACCTGCACGCATCAAAGCTCTTGACGTCACCCATCGTGTGTGTCTTAATTATACACACATACTCGGTAGTTTCCATCGGCAGTAGGCGCGATTGTGAAGCCATACAGCTGCGGGCGGCCCCAGCAGGCGCTCACCATCACGCTCTCCCGCGACATGGGGACATCTACCGCCCCCTCAGCCCCCTGGAACCGTCTCTCCAGCTGCCCGTCCCTCTCCACCAGCACCACGCGCCCACTCGTCCTTCGGCCCTTGTGGTTGTTGCTCTCCGAAAGCGATCCGAAAGCCCCAGCGGTGTCTCTCCGCCGCCTGAGGCTGCCGTCCTCTTCCGCCATTGCCGTCACGCCACCTCCTCCCTCTTCACTCGTCGTCTCGCTGATGACGGGAGCCAGTGGGTTGGCCTCCACTTGCACGCCGATTCTCATCTTGCCGATGGCCCTCAAGGGCCAGGGCTCGATTACTATCTGGAAACGGCTGTCTGTCCCGCTGTCGAATAGAAGTGTCCGGCGTGCGGCTGTCTCGCCGTCCACATCGACGTAGATAAAGAAGCTCCAGCCGGGCGCTAGGGTGGCCATGGGGTTGATGGCCGGGGGCGGCATTATGGACAGGCGCGACACATTTGAGCGCAGCAGCGGCCCCTCGACGCCACGGTCTCCGCCGGAGAAGCGAAGACCAAAACTGTAAGTACAGAACACACAAATAGACGCAGACACATCTGTGGCTTTCCCACGTATGTGACGCACGAATGCACACATTACACTGACCCTTCGACGAGCTGTGGCGTCTCCTCGGTGTTTGGCGGTACGAATGCGACAGGGAGTGTCTTTGGGGATAGTGCGTCTCGCCAGCGTTTGACGTCCCGCGTGTCCCCCTGCACCGTGACGAACTCCCGCAGGCCGATGAGGGTGGTGCCCTGGCCGTACATACGCTCGCAGGCCTTGATCTCCGCTGCAGATGACACTGCACAAAGAAACACCTAGCCGTGAACTGCTTTGCACTGGACTCGGTTGTTACCTGGTGATGGTGATGGTGTCTGCCTCTGTGCGAGGGTGAGCATTTGCGCCTGCCTTTGCCTCAGGTGCTGCAGATGCGACGCGTTGACCTGTGTGAAGCCTCCCGTGGCCATCTGGCTCCCCCACACCGTCCTCGATGCCTCCAGCATCTCCAAGTCTGTCAGGCCGCCACTGCTGTGCACCATCCTGTCTTCGCCCTTTTCGCTGGCCGTCATGTGCAGCATAGAGGTGGCGTCGTCGCCGCCATCCAGATCAACGCCTTTGAGTAGGGTGACCGACGTCACGGTAGATATGTCCGCAGAGGAGATCAGAGTCGGAAAGCCGGTGACCGCAAGAGCGGCCATTGCAAATGCGGCTGGGAGAGCTCTCTTTCTCAGCAACACTTGCATCTGCATCATCTCCGGAGAGAACAGAGGAGCATCCACCCCTGTGCGAGCTCGTGCCCCCGGCAGCCCCCAGTCTCACCCGTCTCACAATGCGTCTCCTGGCGTTGTTCGCTCTCTTCCAGGTGCGCAGGGGTGCGGGTATGTGTGTGCCAGTGCACCCAATGCTCTCTATTTGGTTTGTTCGCTCAGGTCTGTTCGTTGTCCAGCGCCTATGAAGGCGAGGAAAGCGTCCACGATGCCGTGGAGGCCTCTGCATCCCTCGACAGCTACATGGCCAGCGTCATGGAAAAGGCCAAGGCGGGCAAGGGGTATTGGATGAGGATGGGTGAGCTCCGCGCCATCAACCCCCAATGGGTCAGCCCATTCGTCGAGGTGACCGGGGGGCTGTTCGGCGTCCGCAACACCACGCAGAACGTCATCAACGACTACATCAACTACATCGCCAACGGCACCTTCGACTCGCGATTCGGCATCATGTACTACCACCACCGAGACATGCTCCCCGAGTGCACCGACGACGCCAGCGTGTGTGTGTACCTGTTCGAGCAGACGGGCGGCGACGGTCACTCGGGGCGCTACAAGGCCTTCCCCGCTGAGCAGTGCAGGGGGTGTTGCGAGTTCTCAGGCATCGGCGGCCACGAAGCAATGTCACTTCGGATACAAGTCAGCCCCACCCTACCGACCGATGAATGAAGACACGCCATACGGCATTCTCTCTGCGTTGTATGTCATGTCTCAGGGTGTGGCCAATGTGACGCTATTTGAGCTGCCGGGGTGCGAGCCAAACCGCCTGAATGAGGGTGCGTGGCAGCTGCCGGAGCCAGCGTATCGGTGGCACTTTACACATAGCGACAGGGAGCGCGACGGCATCTTTTTTGACCTCACCGAAGACACACTGTGTGCGGAGCCGACCCTCGTGGTGATCGGCCGGACGGGCGGGCAGGTCCACAACCTGTGGCCGCTGCCAGACGACCAGGAATACGCGTAGGCATCCATTTCTCCATCTGCACGCACAGACACATACATGCGCACCATCGTGTGTTGTGTGTGATGTCTCAGGCGGCTGTGGCGAGACATCAACAATGACCTGAGCGAGGAGAGCCTGGCTGACGTGCTGCAGCCTGATGCTGTCTTCGAGAGCAGGGTGCTGCCCACACTCAAGGAATGGTTCCACCCAATCGTGCCGCTGTCGAAAGTCGGTCTGCACCACACAGACACGCACACACACACACACACCACACGGGACAAATTGCATTCCTTCTTCTCTGTCCGTGTGTGTGTGTCAGGAGTACTTCGAGCGCACTCTGAGCAACGTGATGAAGGACACGACGTCCACCCAGGCCAAGGCTGAGTTCCAGAACTATGCATTCGACAGCCAAAACCAGCGCATCCGCTACTATGCCATGCGGTTCCCCAAGTGCACTGTGCCGTGTGACGTCGACTGCCGCCCGGCGAACCTGGGCTTCAGGTCCCTGAGGATCACTGTGCCTTGATTGACAGATAGGTGCTGCCATGGGGGGCTGGACTACATAACTACCATTATGCTTTAGATAGATATACAGGACATGTACAGGACATAACATAACACATAACACGCATGTGTCTTGACACACGGAGGAAAGTGAATGGCCGTTCGGGGCACCACACACCAACAAAGAGCGCCACACACGCATGGATGCAGCCTCCCTCGCCCATCCATCCATCCATCCGTCCACTCATCGTCTATACATCATGTGAGCAGCTGTTCAGCTGAGTTGTAGAGCGAGCCGATAGTGTAGCCAGCGAAACGGGAGAACCGCAGGCCTGCAGGGGAGGGAGCGAGGGAGGGAGCGAAACAAGTTGTGGATGGATGGATGGCTGGATGGATGTGTGTGTGCGTCCGCTGTTGTCTGTCTGTCGTACCTGCACTTCGTGCGTGGTTGCCTTTCCGGTCGGTGCCGGCCCATGTGATGAAGATCTGCACGCACCACGGCACACACACAGACATACATCAATGGTGACCTGCCCGCTATGGGACGATAACAGCTGGCCACCTTGAGGTTGTCCGATTTGTCCCAATTCTGCCCACACATTCCCTGAGACGCCCTGATGAAGGCACGCACGCATCACATGCACACGGGAGACGCATATATGCAACCCAACACACACGCCTCAGCTTGCTCAATCAACTGTCCGGTCACTCACCTGCCCCCTGTCTCAGTGAGCGTGAAGTTTCCAATTGATGGCTCTGGTGGGTCGTCATCTAGCTGCTGAAAGAAGACAGGCGACTCCCCCGGAGCAACGTCCCTCGACACGCTCCCCTCAATCACGTCGAGACCTTCATCTTCTTCGCCAACCGGCGCCGCGGTCGTCACGTCAGTACCCTCTTCTTGCAGCCTTCTGCCGGATGCGGCTGTGTCAGTAAGCGTGATGACGTCCGCAGACTTGAGGCACTCCTCAGAGTTGGAGGCGCAGGGCGAGTAGCATCCGTTGTCCCATACGATGGAGGTGATCTTGCCCTTGTCCAGGTTGATCACGGCGTTGACGAAGGGCGCGACGTACTTGTCGGTCGCCCAGATCTGCGGACACGACACCCTCTCCCGCCGCCGGTCAGTGTCGCTGTTGCACTGAGAGAGGCGCGCCGACAGAAAACAAAGAGGGAGGCATCTGTCTGTCAGATGTCGTGTGTTGGTGGTGGGGTTGTCTTTGAACTCACTTTGTAGGGCGACGCATCGTCGATTTTGAGGGCCATCCACGTGTACACAGGTGTCACTGCTGTTCTGTTCCCGTCGGGCACGCTCTCTATCAGGGCCTTCTGGGCTGCAGCACAGCACAGCACAGCACAGCGCAACACAACGCAACGCAACGCATCACAACGCACGGACAGCCGGTCGCCTTGATGCCTTCCTTCACAATGGATGGTGTGTGTGTGTGTGTTGTGTTTGTCGGCCTTACTTCCTTTGAGCACCAGACCAGTGTATCTGTCCACTTGTACTTCGAAAGCCATGAGCTGTGGGAAAGGATGAGTGCTCACAAACACACACAGCTGCACCTTGTCGCCCTGCACACAGACAACACAACACACAGAGGACACCAGTGCACTCTCACTGACATGGGCTGATCTCGTTCATCTCCTACATCTCCTACATCTCATACCAGCAATACGCTTCCTGCATCCTTGACTCTGCAGCTGAAGCTCAATTGGTCGGGCTGGGTGTTGTTTTGGGTGTCGTTGTTCTGACCCATGCATCTCCACAAACACCCGAGAGCCAACAGCACATACAGGAATATCCTCTTCGTTGCTCGTGTGAGCGCCATGTTCGCTGCCGATAATCTCCACGCCGCGGCCATCGAAGATGCGAGCTCAGAAGATGGTCGACCCCGAGCTCGCACTAATGATGGGGGACAAAGTGTCCCAGCTGAATTGGGTCAAATCTGAGCTCGCCTTTGGCGGGAGAAGTGAAAGGGAAGGGAAGAGGAATTCACGGCAGAAAGCCGTCCAAGAACACACACCACATGTCCAACATAGCTACTGCGATTCACATCAAAGAGAGCTCGGATGCCTCATCGGGCCCTGGCAAGCTCGCACACTCCGTCGTATGCACAAAGTCCCCCGGCTTATCGTGGGCCTTTTTCAGGTGCTGGCCAAGGTATTTGTACGATTTGCCGCAGATCTTACAATAGTACTCGCCATCACTGCGTACCCATTGCACACATCACACAGGTGATGGCTGCGTGCGCGTCTCCTGTGCATTCTGCCTACCTGTTGGGACGGCCCCACATCGACTTTTTGGTAGGACTGGCCCTCATCCCACCACGCTGCATCATACACATCATGTGTTCAGTTAACACGCTCTCTTGTGTCTCCGTTTACCTTCTGCATCGACTTTCTGTAGCCCTCATCGCCGTGCTTCCTCCTCTGGGCGTCACAGCTTTTGCTCGCAACCTGACACACACACATACGCCGTCCATGTCTCTCTCTCTCTGTTTGTGTGTGTGTGTGTGTGTTGGTATGTCGGTGTCTTTCGACCGTGCTCATGTGCGCGCAGAATGCCGCCGGCCCGCCCAGGTTGGCTATCTGTGTTTCGATGCCGATGGGGCCGGCGATGAGGCCGCCGGTGCGGCCAATCTGACCCACACACACCACACACACGAAACACACAATCCATCTGTCTGTCTGTCTGTCTGTATGTGGGTGTCTTTCGACCGTGCTCATGTGCGCTGAGAATGCCGCCGGCCCGCCTAGGATGGCCATCAGATTGGCGGCGCCGGTGTGGCCAATCTGATCCACACACACACCACACACACACACCACACACACACACCACACACACAATCCATCCATGTCTCTCTCTCTATGTGTGTGTGTCGGGGGTGTTGTGTGTCAGCTGACATTGGAGAAGTGCTGGTGGATGGCCGCCGGCCCGCCCAGGTTGTTCATCAGATTGGCGGCGCCGATGGGGCCGCCGATGCGGCCGCGGTGGGTACGCAAGTCGCTCAGCAGCTCCTCACCGGAACTCCAGAAATATCCCTCGCCGGTACGGAAGACGGGCATAACGCGGTGCGGCACCGTATAATTCGCTGCGTATAGGGCAGAGCAGATGGCGAGGTTTTTCTCGTACTCCTTCAGCGTGTCGCTGTCCTCCAACAGCGGGAATGACATCACGCGCTTGATATAGCCGGGATGAAGGGTCCGCCCAGAACGCATCCCGAGCTGCAGTGCCGCAGACAGATATAGACGCATCTGGATGCTATGTATCTTACCTACCTTGTCGAATATAGGCTTTGTGTGTTTCTCTGCGTCTTCGCCGACGAGCAAACCGTAGCGCCTCAGGTGTCGGTGTGCCCTGGTGAACTCTAAAAGAGCTTATGAATTGGATATGAGTCAATGGTACTTGTGACATAACAACAAACTTCTCAATCTGTTCAATGCTGAACCACTGGTTGCTTGCATCATGATAACGTAACCTTCATTTCATTGACCACACAGAGCCTGTTGTGTTCGCCATCGCATTGTGCGTGCGATAGCACTGCATTCATTCACCGCATTCGGTATCATCCACCCCACCAGTCAGTCCCTCCCATCCCCCCGATCCGATCCCCGTGATCGACGCTGTGCTGTGCTATGGTGCGATGCTGTCTGTCCTATCGACACACATCCATCCAAACTTGACGGAGGCAGGCACAAGAAAAGCACACACCAGCATCCATCACATACATCAAGACACTTGTGGGTGGGTGGCGACGGATGGACACCGTTGTGACATGTACGCCCACGCCTCGCTCGATTGCTCGTCAAAACCCGACGGACACCGGGCCAGAGCCAGCAGCCTCTCTGCACACTACACTACTAAAGGCACAGATTAGGTCTCTCTCTCTCTCTCTCCCTCCCTCCCCGCTACCCTGACCCGACCTTGCCTGCCTATCGACATCATTCCCACTCATATACACACACGTACACAGACAGATGTGCACACGATTGATTCACAAAGAAGGCTCGGTAGATACAACGTCGAGCAATGCAATTCAGTGCAATGACTGTATGATGTCATCACCACCAGCCCCTGCGGCCCCAGCCACGGCGGTATCCCCCGTGGCCCCAGCCGCCGAAGCGCCGGTATCCCCCGTGGTAGCCCCTGCCGTAGAAGCGCCGGCCGTAGTAGCCCCGGCGGCCGAAACGAGAGCGGCCGAAATAAGAGCGGCCGAACATACCGCGGGAGCGTCCGAGCTTCAGACCACCAACTGACGAGCACGCAGACACACACAGAGAGGCCAAGATGAGCCACAGGCGATGCTGCTTGGTGGTCTAGCTGATGACTGTCTGTGTACTCACATATGCCGAAGAGGCCCAGTCGGCGTCTGCTGGCCTGCTCGTCGGTGGCGGCCTCATCGTCATCGTCATCGGCTGTGTCGGCCTCCTCTTTGCTGAGCTTCTCGACTTCCTCGTCGGTGAGGAACTCGTATTCGTAGTCGCCGCTGTGGATGACCGCACCCTTCTCGTCGACCAACGAGAACTCGCCTGAGTGAATGGATGGCCACAGACATACAGAGGCACGGAGAGTGCGTGTCGGCCTGCGCCTGTATGTGTGTGGTTCGTGGATTGCTCACCAGGTTTGGCGATGAGTATGTGTCCGAGTGAGAGGTGGACCTCAGTCGTGTTGGTCGTCAGATCACGGAAGACGCCCTCAATGTTGTAGACACGCTCAGAGGCCCTGTCACCCAGCTGACAGCAAAAGGGAGAGGGACACAGAGAAAAAGGGATGCCCATCCGCCACTCAGTGTGTGCCTTCCCCCGTGGCTCGCTTACGTTGATGTGGAGGGACTCCATCTTTTGGATCTCGTCGAGCGGGAGGAAGGCGAGGCCCTCCAAAGGCACACTGTCGAGTGCCTCGCTGAACCTCAGAGGCATGCTGTCCTTGCGGCTGACGAGCTGCTCGTCGTCGGACACCGTGATCTCCTTCGACACTGACGGACACACACACACACACACACAGATGGACACCACACCCCTCCCACTTGCTGTCTGTGGCTGCGTACGCTGGATGGCGGCCAGCATGAGGCCGAACACACACGCGGCGGTCAGGACGATGGCGCCCACGACGGCCAGCACCTTGAGTGCGATGGTGCGCTTGGGCTTCTTGGTGGCCAACGACACCTGGGGGGCCTCCAAATCACAAACCTGCACACACCAGCAGCACACAGACAGACAGACAGACAGACAGGCAGACACACAAGAAGTAGGGATGGTGGCGGTGGGCATCAGGTTGGGTGAGAGAGCCATGTGTGTGTCAGTGGTCACCTTGCTGCCGATGGGCTGCTGGGCGACGGAGTGGGCCATGGCGACAAACAAACGAGATGGCTGACGGGAGGAAGACCGACCAGGGACTTCGGGCAGAAGAGTGCTTGGCTGGGATTGAAGGCAGAAGTTGGTTTGAACCACGAGGTTGATGGAGATGGGGAGGAAGGCGGCGGCCTTCTGGTGGGAGGGAGGGGAGGGGAGGGAGAGGGAAGGCGTTGGGAGGGGTAGATGGAAGGCGTTCCGACTTTTGCCCTCCGACCGTTGCTGGCCAACTTGACCGTTGCAAAAGTTCCTGGCCGGGATGCTTGTGTGTGAAGATGAATGCACGTCAGGCCCAGTTTGGGACCCAGTCCGTGTTCTGACGATCCACTGCACACCAAACGATGTCACTCACAGAGTCTGGCTGCATGGTGTGGTCCTGGCGATTTCCCTCTCCAGCCACTTCTGACACAGCAGCCTGACTGAGTCTGAAGTGCTGCCGAGGCACCGCGCCAGCGACACACCAGCCAGCCCGCCACTCAGACATTCAGTGGCTATGGCGTATGTACGTACGTATGTATGCACGGCTGTATACAGTAGGTAGCACTATCTACGTATCTATCCGAGTATGTACATCAGAAGGGGGATTACCTTCACCATCGACAGGTCCGCAAACAGCACATCCACCTCACTCTAAAAGACACACACACACACAGCCTTCTATCTGTGTGTCTGTTCTGTGCGTCTTCCTTCCTTGTGTGCAGTGCACACCCCACGCCTACTTCGCCCACATACCGTGTGTATGACTTTCATGATCTGGTGCTCCCGCCATGCGAGTATGGCCACGGCGAGGAGGGGCAGCAGGTCCAGCCGGTCGTACCCGATGATCCGGTCCCACAACCAAAACACCTGGTGGTTGGCACAGAAATCAATAGGCACTCACGCCACCCACGTGTACGTTGCTTGCTGCGACTGACTATGTGCCTCTTGTGCGTCATTTCTGGCTGACCTCATCACTCACCTCTGTGGGCGGCAGGACACCGATGAACCCCTGCACACCACACATCCAATTCGACCCATCCATCGGTGTGTGGGTGTGCTGTGCTGTGCCTGCATATGTGTGTGTCTGTCTGTCTGTCTGTCTGTATCCCTGCCTGTACGATCCACGGGAAGACGAGCTTCAACGGACAGTACTCGAGAGCACACAGGCGATGATACACCCCCTGCACCCCACCCATGCCATCCCATGCGCACCGCACACACATCCACCCAGCATAACTATGTCACGATTAATGAAGTCCTACTGGTATGGTTGTCGCCGCCAGGCCCTCAAACAGACCGCACAAACCAACAAGCGTGCTGTCCACCTCCCTGTCCAACACGCACACACACACACACACAGACAGACAGTGAGGAATAGAATGTCCTCTCTCCCTCCCTTGTTCAAATCCATCCACTCACTCACATGTGGCCACTTGCCATTCTCGTCTCTCCCTCTCCGCCCACCAGGTGGCACACAGCAGCCCACGACACACCGTCCCCGCTGCTGCTGCTATCAGGCTGTCTTGTGCCGCGATTGTCTCTGAACAGGGAGGCCGCATGCGAGAAGAGAGACGCCGGAGGGCTTATGGTGTGGAAGGGGGAGGCTGGGTGGTGCTGGTGCTGGCGCTGCTGGTGCTGCGGCCGACATGGGCAGAGTGTGTGGAGGCGGATGAAGTAGGTCGAGTAGACGGCGCGGAACAGGGGATACACCTCCGTCAGCTGCAATCAGTGAATGACACAGACAGGGAGGGAGGGCACATGTCTATCCAATGAGATGACTGACCGAGATATGGCTGCCCTGCCTGCCTGGTATCTATCACTCTCACCGACTCTGAGAGGAAGCTGAATGGCGCGGCATACAATGCGTAGCCTGACATGAATATTCATGACATCATCACGGCCGGCAGGACGCCCACAGGCGAACGAAGATGCATGGACTGGACGGCTCTTCTCTCTGATGCGATTCGAGTCACCCTTGAATGGCAGCACGCCGCTGGGCGGCACCAGCACCGTCCCTTTTGCGTCGTTGGCGGGGGATGTGGCCATCACAGGGGGGTAGGGCAGGAACTGACGTGACGTGAGAGGCGAGTGACGTGACAATGGCAGCCAGGCGGGTACATACCTGGCTCATGGGGGGGATGGCAGGGTCACGCGTCAGTGCCAGCAGCTGCACACACATACACACACACACACACACACACAAGCCAGATGAGCACCTCTGAATGGCGCATTAGTATGCACAGGTGTGTGCGTGTGCGTCATGTGTATACGCACTAGATGCTCTATGAGCTGCTCAAATGGGAAGTAGTGAGAGTCCCCAGTCGACTCCCCGACGTCCAACCGATGCTACACACACACACACACACACACGCACAGGGCATCAGCCAAATCACCCTCCTGGTCATCCATGTCCTCTCTCACCACGTCATCCAGTATCCACTCTCTCGAGGACAGGTCGACGGCGAACTGCTGGAGGTACCGCCGTGCATCCTCACCCTGGTCGCTGCTGACCAGTATGGTGCGCCACACGGCGAAGCGCAAGGACGGGGGGACCCCCTGACGAGCATACGCCCGCAGTGAGGCGCGATCGCCCTGCACACCATACATACAAAGCAAATTTGGATGGATGGATGGATGGTGGGTGCAGTGGAAGGGGGCCAGAGAGGTATGTGTGTGTGGTTGGCACCTCACCTTCTGTATGAGTTGTATGCCTTGCTGCAGGTGCTCCTGCTCGCTCCTGGGGGTGTTGACGCCTCCCAACTGCATACACATGCATGGACAAGCACACGGCCAACGGAACTCAGAGATGGGGAGCTCTCCGTGTGAATGCAATGCACCGTCTGACCTGACTGACTGACTGACTGACCTGTGGGCTCGTTCGCAGAAGATCAGCATAGATCTCGCGATAGTACTCCAGACCCCCTGCAAACCCAAGAACCAGCAAATGACAAACCAAACCACCGCCACCATTGATCCTTCCTCACTCTGCTCAAGCGCCATAGCAGCCGTCAGTCCGCCATGATGCCCACACACAGCCTTGGCCGTCTTTGGTTTGGTTGCTGATGGGCTGGGGGGGCTGGGTGGGCACCGGAGAGTGCCGTGTGCGAGAGGGGGTGGCAGGGGAGGGTGGCCCGGGATGTTGGGATGGCGACCTTGGCCGTCATCCCCCTCCTGGCCGCTGGCAGTGGCCGTGCAGAGGTCCATCACCTGTTGGTACAGCTCGGCAAGGTCGACGAGGGGTCTCGTTTCGACCTCCTCCACATAGCCCCCGCCCGCATGCCTCATCGAACACCCACCATCGTTGTTGCTGCTGCTACCTGTGGGCATCAGGCATCATGGAAAACTCACTCATGTGTCGATCTGTCGGGCGTGTGAAGGCATTGATCTAGTGGTCGATTGCATCACCCACCTTGGGTGGATAGCGAGTCGGATGATGGCGACTGTGGGCGGCCGGTGGCCGCCTGCCGGATGTCCTCATCCCCCTCACGCACCCTGACACACAGACAGACAGACAGACAGACAGATGGGACGACACAGACATGGCACCGCGTCCCAGTGAGATCCCTCCTAAGCCCCATCCATCTATGTGTGTACTTGAGAATGGCCTGTTTCTGCTCGTGAGAAAGAAGACGCAACTCCTGCACACGGCAGTGCAGGGCAGGGCATTGTGCGTCCATTCATTGTCCGTTGACGTGCTGTCTGTGCCCATCTGTGTACCTTACCTTGAGCATGCGCCTGCTGAATCTGTGGGCAATTCGGACGAGAGATGGGTGCGCAGAGGGCGAGGGCTCGTAGTAGCTGCCTGTGGCCCCCGGTGACAATGACAATCCGTGGCATCCTGGGATGGGCGGAGGCGACGGATAATCTGCACACACACACACACACACACGTACGGCCGGACAGACCTTGAACGCGTCAGTCACTGGCACACAGCAGCCAGCCACTCACCCAAAGCCCTCCCTGCGACTCACCTTTGTGGCACAGCCTGGCCATGTCCTTGTGCCGAACATCCATCCGCTTCAGCGCATCCATCGCCCACTCTCGCAGCATATCCGCAAAGGTCCTCCCCCCTCTCCCTCCCTCCCCACCTCCATCACACGCAGGCCCGCCTCCCGTCGTCCTCGACGCCAGCACCCTCGCCACCAGTGCAGCTGGGCTCGGAGCCTCACCTTCATCCGCCTCTTGTGAGTCGGCCGGCAACTGCTCAGGTGTGTCGGGGGAGGTGGGCGGACTTGCTGCTGTCGTGGTTTTGCGGATGCTGACCACGGGAATGGACGGCTGTGGCGCACACATGATGCTCCGCGAGGCGTCGGCTGAAAGAGAGCGAGAGATCTTTGGGTGAAGCGTGTTGGCATACACTGCAGCCCTTGCCTACCTGTGTGGTTTTCTGCCGTCCTGGGCGCAGAGTCGCCGTCGGTGCCGTGATGGTCATCGTTGAGTTCGTGCTGCAGGCGGGCGATGAGATCTCTGAAGCATGAAGGCGGGGCTGAAGCCGCAGACGGCCCGCACAGCTCACTGATCAACGCATCCACGAGATCATCCATCTCCTTCGTTCGCCTCCGCCATCTAGCTCGCCAATGGGCACCGATCTCGAGATCTAGGCCACACTTCGCTCCGCGAATGCAAGTCGACAGTTCATCGCAACGCAACATGACATGCGACAAGTGAATCGTGACTCGGTCCGTCCCATTCCATCGCAGTCAACCAACACATGAAGGTTCGACATGTGAATGCACTCACTGTCATGTCCATGCAGAGAGACTATACAGTATCAACGTGGTCAACTATACAGCTCCCTCACCCGACCCGACCCGTCGGCCGGCAAAACCCTCACATAACTAACACTAACACTGACATACACACACTGACTGCACCACTGCACTGCACGCATTCCGTGAGTGAGCATCACACTCGTGCGTCACTCAGTAAGAGGCCCGCACAGACACACCACACACACCTCACACAAGACGCCATCCTCTCACTCAGTGGAAAGAGTGAGCCCTTCACAGACACACACGTAGATAGACAAATGCACACACACACACACACACACGCACAGACAATGTTATATCATCCGCTTAGCCCATCGCTCCCTCGCTCCCTCTCTGCGTGGCCCCAGGCACTTCATGCAGAGGGCAGCCATTCAACACACAAACACACACACACACACATACGCATTCACGCGCACGATCGCGCCAACCCACACAATGCGACGACTGCGCTTCCCACACTCTCACTCTCGCCCCAC